ACATTTAATGAAACACCAATGTTAAATGATGCACAAATAGCAAATTTAATGAAATTTGATAATAATTATAATCATATCAATGACAATAATATATTATCACCATCAAATAATAATATTAATAATAATAATAATATTTCAGGTGATTTAGTTGCTGTATTAATACGTGAATTAAAAGAATTACGAACTGAAATAGCTGAATTAAAATTCGAAGCAAGATATACACCAGTACATACAACAATGGCTAGTCCACCATTTATTTTTGATGGTATAAAAGAAAGTTTAAATTCATCACCATCATTTGTTAAATTACGATTACATTCAGATATTGATGCTGAAACACAAACTGATTTTGGTTTAATGAATCATCAACAACAAGAATTTTCAAATAAAAATAAAACTTCAATAACAAATACAAAAAAAAAGGAACGTTCAAATAAAACAATTAATAGATATATATCTTCAAATAATATTGAATCTAATCAACAAGGTAAATTATTTTTTATTTTGAATTATTATTCATTTAACCGAACAAATACCAACGATAGTTTGATATTTAAACATTCAGCCATTATCAGGACATTTTCGGGTTGAAATGTTCTTCCAAAATTATAATTTTATTTTCAAGAATAGAAATTTTGAAAGTCATTCTTCTAGATATGTAAGGCTGCTGTCAGAATAAAGAAATGTTTACTTGAGTTTTTTTAAATTTTACGATTCCTTAGAGTGTTTTTATTCATTTTTCTTATCTAAAAAACTTCTCAATATAGAAAATTTTATCCACAGTCGCCACTAGAGCCAATCGTGCCCAAGATTTTTGATCGCTTAAATTTTTTGGATTCAAGCACGATGATAAATCAGTTCTGATAGATATATTCAAAAAGTGTTTCATTGTTCGTTTTTTGTCTTCATAAAACGAACGAAATTTTGAAAAAATTCACAATGCATTGTAATGTATCAAAACTTTCTTCAGAGCTGGATTCGACTCGGACCTACTCGGGTCCGAGTCCTATTCGACAGGCTCTAGTCGCTACTATCGAATGGAAAAAGAAGTAATATTAAATATCATGGGGCTATATCTTTTCTTACGAAATAAGTCATTTCGACAAAACACTAATTTCTATATTTAAACTCTTACAGATATTGTTGATATATATGATCACACATCATATATCAATAATGTCTCGTCTGGAGAAGAAATATGTGTCAAAATAGTTAGAATAAAACAATTACTCCGTGATTTTAAACAGTGTTTGATATTTTAATCTCACAAGAATTATACTAAGATAAATTTTGAATTCTTTTTATAGATCCAAAATTGATGAATTTTTCTTCAACAAATGGTTCATCTAATGGAATAATTTCTTCATCTACAACACAAGATGAATATCGAACAAAAACAAATTTATTAAAACCACGTGGTTTATTAAGACCATCTGAAAATGGTCATACTCATTTAAATAATTCGATATCCTCGAAAATATTCGATAAAAATCAAATAATATCAAATTCTATTGAAGAAGATTCGTCTTTAAAAATGACATCTGTAACTGTTGAGAAAGAAATACCAAAACTTTTTCCTACGAAAGTTTATTCTGCTCCAATCGATGGAAAATCTTCATTAACAATAAAACATAGTGATATTACAAATTTTCGTCCATCTCTAATAGGTACTGTTACACATCCGGAACATTTCTATGAAAATATACCTATTTCAATTAAAACGGATTCAAATCAAAATTTTTTTATTAATGGTAATAATCAAAAAGAAAAAACATCTCAACTTTATGTTAATATTACTAATGATCCTAATACTGAACTTCAACAACAATATCTTACACAATTATTTGGAACACAACGTGGATTATCATTACTTCTTCAACGACAATCAACATCATCTAATTCACCTTCACTTTCAGAAGAAGATAATTCTATAATACAAGATACAACATCAAATAATCATCAATATGGTCAACCAGTTGTTTTTGCTAATTATTTAACAAATCCATTATTTAATGTTGATAAAGAATTATTAGCAAATACAATAGCTAATCAATTTGGTGTTGATTATAATTCACCATATTTATCACAACTTATTGCAAATCAACATTTATTTGTTACAGATAAACGTACATTTGCTAATATGATTTGGCAAATAACACCTGAAGAAGAAGAAGCTCTATGTTCATCACCAATAACAATAGCATCAAATATTATTATTAAAAATACATATGATTCAAATAATTCAATAGCTAAATCTATATTAAAATCAAATCGACATTCTCGTTCTATATCAAAAAAATCACGTATTACTTGGGATAATACATTAGAATAGTTATCAATTTATAATAACTATCCATTTGTGTTATGTTTAGAAAATATTTTTGTTATGTCATTGAATAATTATCATTTTAATATATAATATTTACTATGTAAAAATATTCTCAAATCTTTGTTTTTGTAAAACATGATCTAAAAAGGAATGTTGAAGTAGATAGAGTAGAGATTTGCAACCCTCATGGACCATAGCAAACGGTAGGTAAAGACTGTCACAGACGGCAGGAGAAGTTAAAAAGAGATAGTGACAAGAATCATCTGAATAATATTGAAAGTAAAAATGTCGAAAAAAACGTTTTACTGTTTGAAATTATGAAAGTTCGAAGGTGTAGGCGTATGTAAAGAGAAGACCGATGATCACACTCTAATCTTTATATTTCTAACATTAAATTAAATCGTATTATTCTGGTACACTGTCTTTCGATTAATAAGGAAAGGTCTTCAGGTGTTCCACGTTGTTTCGAATCTGATACATGTTTTCAGTGAATACAATATCTCGTATAAAGGCTTTGTCTTCATGCTGAATCTTGAAGGAATAGTGTTTTATTTTTTCATTTTAGGACAATTTCGTTGGAATTGGCGTCTACAGAAGAATAATAATCCAAAACACCGAAGTAATATTTGTAAAATAATTCATCAGCGATGTCCATGAAAAACAGATGTTTTGTCATTTATTTCTTCTAAAGGTGAACGAATAAAATATTGAAATATAATGTTCGATAGAACTCGTCGTAGGTTATCAACTAATATATGAAAGAGTCTGAGAATGACACATATATAGGAAAATATTGGCATAACAAGATGTTCAAGTTTTTTTGACTACAACTGTATTTTAAAACTACATGTAAACATTGTTCTTACTCTTTGCAAGAGTAGGTATCCAATGACTAGAAGTTGTATTATCATCATAGTTTTTCTTTACTTTTGCTTTGAAGGAGAAAGTCTCTCAAAAGCAAAAAACGAATTTATGAGAATTGATAATCTTTCCCTACTCGTACACGTTGGTCACTACATTCACCTGCTCATACATATAAAACTCATCACTTGAATGAGAATGAGAGCTAAAATATCTCAATAGAAGATCTCACATTCATTCTTCTGAACTAAGTATTGAAGAAGAAAATCAGTGCAAATACAAATATGAAATATGTATTAAGAAATGATGCATCTTGAATTTGAATACGAATCTTTATTCTGAAAGTAGAATCAAAATCGAAAAAAAAAAGTTTATTAGCTGATAATGGAAATAAAAATGACAAAACTGCATGTATCTTTGGTAAAATGATCTTCGATAAAAATCAATCAAACAGACTATCATAGAAATTGTGAAAAAGTCCACACATATTCTGAAGAAAAAATTCACTTACTTATATTTTAGAAACTTAATACTTTCATGTTTTTATTTTAAAAAACCAACAATATAATCATCGCTCTATCACAGGGTGTGGGTATGAAGTCGACGAAAAAAAACACCCACACTCTCTTTTGGTAGAGAATTTTTCGCTCTAGAAAACTATCGACTTTGATTTTCAAATAAGTCCTTCTTACCGGCGAAATATTAAGAAGATTGGTATGTATTCAACCGCCCAAGTGCGATCCTCTATTATTTTCTTCGAACATCTATCGAGTTGTCTAAGTCTATATTCATCAAGTTCGATGCTAAATGTAAATTATTCAGTATCAATAGGTAGAATTTTCAGCTCTATGCTTCGAAGATCTTTCAAGACTCTCGATGATATCGTTCAGATGTCAAAAAGTTTGAAAATAAAACCTAGTGGAATTTTGTTTTCAAAACTGGCCTTTTGAAAAGTTAGCCATGCTAAGAGGTTCATAGTGAATTTTCACAAGGTATGGTCCTTCGTAATTTCTTCAGGATTCAGCATGAAGACAAAGCCTTTATATTAGATGTTGTACTCGCTGAGCTCTACAAACGACGTGTACCAGATTCGAAATGGTGTGTAACATCTGAGGGCCTTCCCTCTTAAGTTCAGGTTTACCAATAATAGGCGCTAGTCAGAGACTGTCATATGCCAACAATCTCCCTGTGATTAGCAACATCAGCTACATCGCGTTTGACATTTTAATCTTGCAAGGATTGCGCTGACAGCTTTTTTTAATTATGATAATTATAGTTAAGGTTTTTGTTCAATTATATTAAGTTCTGTAAATTATGTAAGTTTATCGATGAAAACAGCAAACTATCGAATATCTTGATAGATTAATATAAATCAAAGAATCGTAAATTTATTGTTAATTTGAGTTCTTTTTTTTCGTAATAATGTTGTTATTTTATTGAAAAATGAATCATTTCCGTGGATGATACTTGGTTAGACATTTGCAATGATGACTAGTTTTGGATTGAAATTGGATCTGCCACTTCTAAGATTCTATCGATATTGTTTGTCTTAATTTTCTTTTCTAATTTCGATACAAAATCACCTATTCGTATTGTTAAAGTCTTTATTACTCTAAATAGATAATTAAATAATCCAACAGAACGTCAAGAATTAACAATAAGAGATAATGTAATTGCTAAAATAGAATTCACTATAGACAATCATTTAACATAATTTTATAAAAATCTATTTGAATATCTTGGCGCTTTAATCAATCATATTTAGAGAATATTTTCTGTTTCATCATACAATTATGTTTCTTATTATCTAATGCTTGGTGCAATAGTAATAGGTAAATAACTGTAAAAAAGAAAAAACTATTAAATCCAACATCTTTATTTCATATTGATTTTTCTTCTATATATATATATTCAGATAATGGTACAGGTACATGTAAATCAGGCTTTAGTGGTGAAGATACACCTCGAGCTATTTTTCCAGCTATTGTCGGTCGACCAAAACATCAAAATATAATGCTTGGTATGAATTATAAAGATTTATATGTTGGTGAAGAAGCTCAAGGTCGTCGTGGTATACTTTCACTTCAATATCCAATTGAACATGGTATTATAATGAATTGGGATGATATGGAAAAAATTTGGCATCATATATTTTATAATGAATTACATGTTCAACCAGAAGAACATCCATGTTTAATAACTGAAGCACCACTTAATCCAAAAATAAATCGAGAAAAAATAACACAAGTATAATTATTATAATATATAAAGAATAGTTAAATGAAAATTTTTTCAGAATGAAATTTTTAGATTATGTTTGAAAATTTTAATATACCAGCTATTTATATTGCTATACAAGCTATTCTTTCACTTTATTCTTCAGGTCGAACAACGGGTATTATTAATTATTGTCTACTAGTAATTTAATATTTCAGCAATAGTTCGAATTACTTCAGAATATTTACCTATTCACTAGATTTTATCGATCGAATATAGTTCTAGTTAAAAAAAACAATTTATCACTTGAAAACTTTCATTCAATTATAAATCGTATCGAATTGTTCTTAAGTCGATAATCTTTTTTTATTTTCTACTAATGATCTTGAAGATTTTCACATTGAAATATTGATATATATATATATATTGTAACAATTAATTGACTGTATTTTCTGCAAACACAGAAAAAGCTTTTTTTTTCTCGAAACAATATGTTCTATGAATCTAGACAGATCCACAAAAAAAGTTTAATAGTCTGGAAAATCAGTATAGTTGATAATCTCTAATCTACTAGTTTTCTATGAGAATGCGATTGATGTTTCTTCATAAGATAATTTTATGTATTATAATTTAGGTGTTGTTCTTGATTCTGGTGATGGTGTAACACATAGTGTACCAATCTATGAAGGATATTCACTTCCACATGCAATAGTTCGTCTTGATTTTGCTGGTCGAGATATAACAAATTTTCTTTTACAATTATTAATGAAACGTGGTTATAATTTTACAACTTCGGCTGAACGTGAAATTGTTCGTGATATAAAAGAAAAATTATGTTATATTTCATTTGATTATGAAAAAGAAAAATTAACTAGTATTAAAACAAATATAATTGAACGTAATTATGAATTACCTGATGGACAAATAATTCGTATTGGTTGTGAACGTTTTCGTGCACCAGAAATTTTATTTAAACCATCAATTATTGGTTTAGAAATACGTGGAATACATGAAATAACATATTCATCAATAATGCATTGTGATATTGATATACGTCGTGAACTTCTTAATAATATTGTTTTATCAGGTGGTTCAACAATGTTTTTAAATATTCATGAACGTTTACAAAATGAAATTGTTCGAATGACTCCAACATCAGTTAAAATAAAAATTATTGCACCACCACAACGAAAATATTCTGTTTGGATTGGTGGTAGTATTCTATCAACTCTATCAACTTTTCAACATTTATGGTTAACAAAACAAGATTATAATGAATATGGATCAACTATTGTTCATCGACGTTGTTTTTAATTTTTAAGATAGCAAAAAAAAAAAAACAATTTGTTTTATTTTGTACTCTTTGCGAACACTGTTGTTTAGTTTTAATTAAGAAAATATCTTCGCAAAGTAGACTCAAGATAAGATTTATTATATTTATTTAGTAAAAAAAAAAAACATCTATTTGAAATCATTGGATTATTTCACTAGTTTTTTTTTGTTGTTTACAACAATGCACGTATAAATGATCTTTTTTGATTTTTATATCTATTAATATTAAAAAATTTAATTCGATTATTCATAATTATCAATTATATCGACTATTTTACCTTAGGAGAATAAGAACAAAAGAGATAAGTTATTTTTAATTGATTAGTTCTGTCAATAATAATAAGATAAAATAAATATTCATATGATATTTTTTTTTGTCATCGTTGATATTTACAAAAAAAGCATTGTATTGGCAGTGTATATCTAAATTTACATAATGCAAGCCATACATGTATATTATCAATAGACTCAATGCATTGGCTTCATCAAATCATCGTTCGATTGATATTTATACAAGTGAAAAAATATTATCAAATTCCAATAGAAAGCTATGATGATCGGCCAGCTGTACGTATTGTTTCATTGAATAACATGTATTCACTATTCTAAACTTATGTACATATATACCAAAGTCTTTATCCATCTCATATAACACTTTCGTTATAAAATTTTTCTTTGACTTTTTTCGACAACATTCATTATTCATACAAAATCAAAGATGAAACAAAATTTAAATAAATAGTCTAAATAAATAATTTTCATATGAATTTTTCTAAATAAATATATACAAAAAAGAAAATTAAAGGATTGTATCGTTTCCATTTTAAGTATAGAAGATATAGTTGTCCAAGCCGTCTTCGATCGTAAGCTTCAAAACATGGCTTTATCTATGCAACGTCTTTCTTTTTAATTATCCATTGAGTTCAAAGCTCGGCCATAACACTGCAATGAAAGCTGTCAAGTGTAACACTATAAGAGTGAATTATTGACTTAACCGACAGAAGTAGCCAATAGATTTCAGTGACCACATGGATCACTCTCAACTTCGGCGCCTGAATTTCTGCTTGCAAGTTCCTAGCATTTTCCAAAATTTTGTGGTCGAAAACGACCTGGGCGTATATTGAACAAGTCATAATCAATTAAAGCAAAAAAATAAAACGATATTAAAAGTCAATTTTGTTATGAAAAACATTTATTTTGAAATCAACATCAAAATTATACAAAAAAAAGTGTACATAAGCTGATCATTCTTCATATATTGAATGTACAACGACTGTAAGTTTTTTTTTTTTTTCTTTATAAATGTATGAATAATTTCATTTGTTATGTAAGAGAATTATCAAAAGATAAGTAGAATAATACTTCGTATATATATATATAAGAAAAATGATTTAAATACGTACAATGAATTCTCCATTAATATGCATAATATGCATTAAATTTTCTATTGGTTGTGATTTTTTTATAATAGATTTTCCTTTTGAATTTGAATAATTACTAGTTAAAATTTGTTGTTGTTGAGTAATTTTAAAATCTGTATTCATACGATTAAAATGATTTGTTGATAATTGTCGTGATGGTGGAAGTGGTGGTAAAAGTGAAATTGATCGATCTAATTTAATTTTTTCATTATCATAATCATTATAATTTGTATTTGATGAATATGATTTTATCATATTTGTTACAGATGGTATTGTTAAATGAATATTTTCAATTGATGATTGATATCGTTTATGATGATTTGATTTTGTTCGTGCTAATGTCCATATTTGTTCTTGTTCATATGAACTTGAATATGGATTATTTGTTTTATTAATATTAATAATTGAACAGTAAGTACAATATTGATGTGTATGAATTTTATCATTATCATGTAATGATTGTTGTTTTGTAAACCATTCGACTTGTTCTCGAGGCATCTTCAATTATTCATCAAAATAGAATCTATAAATATACATATATTCTCATACTAAATAATATGAAGAGAGAAAGAGTAATATGAGAATTAACAGGAGACCTCTACTTCTTTTCTTTTTATTATAACTCGAAAGGTAGACATTTTTTTTTTCTTCTACCTTCATACATTGCATATATGTATACATACATAGTGAGTTAAAAAAAAAAAAGGATATAAGTATTCTATAGTAATCATACAGTTGCTCGTAATGTTATGTTAAGATGAAATGAATCAAAGAATTGACTGGACATATATTAGTAAAGTGTACCCTATAGCAAGACAACTTATGTTCTTTTTTTTTTCTGTCTTCTTTTTTGCTTATAAAAACATTCAATCATGATATATTTCATATGACTAAATATAAGACAAAGTCAAGTGGAACATTTCAAGATAGATAAACATAATTCTTTCTGTCTCTATATATATTTATTCTCGATAACAATGAAATAGAGAAAGACAAAAAAAATGACCTAAACAAGAAGGTCAACTATAATGAACTACATCAATTATAATATATTAAAGAAAGCAAAACAGAAGTGTTGTATTATATTATTAAAGAATTTTTATGGATGCATTATATGTTTTTTTTTGCATTCAAGTTTCAAATAATTCTCTATATAAAGAGTTGAATGAATTTATGAATAAAAAAAAAAAAAACATTCAGTTTAATATACATACTGTCTTAATTTATTGACATAAGAATAACATTGAAATTTTCTTTCTCTTTTATTATATCAAATATTCATTCTATATTGTACGTTGATGTACTTAAAATGAAAATATAAAAACTGAGCCAAAGAATCTACAATAAATGTATTGTTACATGATACTAAATATGATCGAAAATTTTCAAGCTCAATCTTAATCATAGAAGGATTAGTCTCAATCAAAAGGGATCATTTTATCTAGACTATGATGTAATAAAATGATATACAGTATCCAGATTGAATTGACCAATCGGAGATATTCTCTTATATTTGAATGACTACTATGTACACAGCAAAACTGTCATAGCTCTGTAATCTCATACTTATCAATTACTGATGATGTTGGAATCAGAAAAAATGAATTTTATGAAAATATTAGTTATTGTTGTTTCCTTATGAACTTTTTCAAAGATTTTCTCACAGTGAAGAATGTAGCAAAATGTATGAAATAGTTATTGGATTCATGCACTGTGTTACATTCTCTACCAGTGTTCATTTAATTATATAATTATTTTAACTGTATTATGTTAGAAGAAACGCCTTCTCATATAAGTATGTATTCTCTTCTCTTTCTTCAGTTCCATTCTTTGATATTTATAATCATTTCTTATCTCATATATTTTTTTCTCTTTTACATTGAGATTTTTTAGACGTTGCACAAGTACGTGCGAGTCCCTTTTCTCAAAATGAATTTTGTATTTTTTTTTCTACTTGTACATTTCAGATTTCTCAACCATTACACATGCCAGGAAGTTTAGCAAGCTTCTAAATCGAAGAGAAAATTGTGCTCCGCAATTTAATAGAGCCGGATTTTTTATTTTTGACTTAGTTCTTGAGAAAAATGGAGTTTTTTTTTTACACATGTATTCCTATTTTTTCGAGCTTTTCGAAAAAACGTGACGCCAAAAATTGATAAAGAAGAATTTGAAAAAGCGAGCTCTGTTAAGTTATAACAGCAAGTGTCGGTTACATTTTCATCCCAATCCGAGATCTGAATGATTATATTTGAGAAAGAAATCTGGGACACACGGAGGCCTATTTTTTTACCCTTAACTAGAGATAATTCTTGTAGACTTCAATATTTTGGACTGAAAATTTTACTGTAACGTTTCTGGGCGCTGACTCATATTTCCTGAAATTTACAATGAGATCGATTGTTCTGACACGAAAATAGGTTTTTGATAGGAGGAGGACTCAAACTCTATAAATGTTCATTAGTTCTGTAACAGAAAAAGAAGTCATATCCAACAAGCGAAAAAATATTTGATACAAGTAATAACACTATGTAGAATGCATATATATATATTGTTGTCTTTCTCTGGAATTATACATTTCAAAATACAGGCATTATAAACTTAATAATGCTGATAAATGCACACTATTTGTCTCTGTAAATATCATAGAAATATAAAGATACTTCGGGTATAGCATACATAGATTTCAAAGAGGGAAAACAGCCGCCACGTCTCCCTGGATTTCCCAATGCTTTGTAGAGAAGCCTAATGAATCATAATCCTTTTGTAGTTCTTCAGTCCTATTGATTCTTTGTATATGTCTAATAGATAAGCTATAAAGTGATGAATAATCTCAGAAAGCGGTTATCATGAACTATGTGCAATAATACAATTAAAGTCCTGCATCAATTCGCGTCGGTAAACTGAATAAATCCGACACTAGGCACATTAACTACGATAACATTTACTTCTGAGTGGTTCAATGCGTATGTTGATCACACACCCTAAACCAATAGCGCATAGAAGTTGTTCGAACTGTTCTGCATAGGAGAGAATCTCTTGAATTTACCAACCTGATCCGAATGTAGAACTCTAAATTGAATCAAAGTTCGTTCATTCATTACAAGTAAATTTCATCGAATTAAGAAAGAGAACTGACAAATGTCTTAGTTTAAAAAAATAACTAGATGGTATTCGAATTTCACTTGCTTTAAAAAAATGCACCCCGAAGCTCCCAATGTCTATTGACGAATAAATCGATATTTTCCATAAAAAAAAAACGAATAATCATTTAAAGATTCAATATGAAACACTTTTTTCTACAAGATAGCTACATTATACTGAAACCAAGTGCTTCTTCTTTTTTTGTCGTTGTAAATCGGAAAAGTTAATTTCGACAAATCAGATAACCTAGCGACGGAGCCAAAACAGTAGCGCTGCTCTTATTTTCGATGGACAGTGGCAAGTGACGTTCCTGCTAAGTACATCATGCTGTCAAGAATATACAATGCCAATAGAATAGCAGAACTCTCCATTACCTTTCCCACAACAAGAAAGGAGTTAGTGTTCTAGCTCCACCGCTAA